AGAGAAATTTACAGTATCTGGACGCCTCTAGATCAGTCAGGTGACGAAATCCAGTTGTGAGGTTTAGAGTAGTCAAACATTCTCCAGTGAGTGTATAGAAACACTACTTCACGCATCGTTAAGCACTCTGAACGCGTTGTTAAAACGTCATTACGATGCTCTGTTGTACTGATGCCAATCGTGGGAATGGCTTTGGATCGGGAAAAGGAATGTTGAATTATCCGAAGGACCCGATCTGGAAAGTAAACGGATTAGACAAAAATCACCCGAACATTCTGTGGCGTCCAAACCGATACAGCAAACTATGTTGGATCATCACATCCCGGCAGATTATTCTATCATCAATCCTGCTCTCACAGCATCAGTTGGATTCAATAAAGCAAAGTACATTACTCAAAAAAATGAAAGGAAGACTTTGTAATCAGAGTAAAGCATGAAGTTAGTTAAACTTGTGTGATATTGATCTGGTCAGGTCAGTAGCAGAGGGGGGTGTTAATCAGTTTCAGCTGCTTTGCTGTTAATGAAATGAACAACAGGTGAACTAGAGGAGCAACAACGAGACGACCATCAGGACAGGAATGGTTTTACAGGTGAAGGCCGCTGACATTTTATCCCCTCCTCATGTTTTCTGACTCTTTTTCACCAGTTTTGCATTTGGCTAGGCTCACTGTCACTACTGTTAGCATGAGGCGCTACCTGGACCCTACAGAGGTTGCACAGGCAGTCCAACTCCTCCAATAAAGCTGATTCAAAGCATCGTTTAATGTTTTATAAAATATTTTATTTCATAAAACAATGAACCCTAGCTAGCTGCCAGTTTAGTAGAGCCACAGCTCCATTTCCGTACGATTATGATCCGGCCTCCAGAATAACAAGAACCACGATCGATAACAGTCAGCGCAGGCAGGGACCCACAGCTGGAACCAGGTAATAGCCGCATCCGAAGGGGAAGGTTTCCCACCCAGACAGCAGAACAGACCGGGCGCATCGAGCTATTTTCCATGCATTGTCCCTTCTGGCTCTGTTCCGGCTGCGGTCAGCTGGACGCAGACGGTAGCTCACCATCGGCGGCGTGTTTGGGGCTGCTGCTGAGCTTCAGCAGGCCTCCTTCAGAGCTTCTGATGCTGCAGTCCGACCCGGTCACAGCAGAGAGCTGGTCCTGATACTCCAGCGCCGCTTTCTCAAAGCTGCAGACACAGATATTGGAGAAGTGCATGATGGGAATGAGAGGGAAGGTGATCAATTCCATAATCAATAAGCTTCCCGAGGCTGTGGCTCATTGAGGCGCGTCCTGAACTACGCGCCGCTGCTCACTCTGCATCATTGTTACGTCAATCTAAACATCTTTCTAATTATTTGTTAAAAATGCTTTTAGATTTTATTTAATGCCTCTTTAAGGTGGGCAGCCTCTGAGATCCTCACCGTCCCTCCGCCTGCAGGGCCACCGAGGACACCCAGCCCAGACTCTTCCCACAGGTCAGGAGGCTCCAGGCGGCCAGGCCCTGGATGGCCTCTGGACAGCGCAGCTCACACAGAGCCTCCACCAGCAGCGCCAGGGGAACCTCCAGCTCCGCGGCCTGACGGGAACACGACACAGCTGATCCAGCGTCTGCAGACAGACGCCGCAGGAACCGCCAGCAGGCCCCATACCCACCTGAGCGCCGCCGTTCTTGAACTCGGTGAGCAGGTCGAAGCCGTGGCGAACCGTCACGGCGGGCTGGCCCGACAGAAGCCCGACCCTCATCAAGGCCAGGCGGATCCGGGTCAGCCAGTCCTGGCAGGTCTGCCGGTTGGTGTAGAAGAAGGTCTTTATGGCCTGGAAGAGATGAGGAGGACAGGTCGCATCACAGCCGGCCGTGTGAACAGGTCAGACGCTCCCATCGGGTTCTGCTGTGGGCGGTACCTTTGGCGGCGCGGTGAGCGCGTTGGCGCAGCCTTCGTAGGCGTTGTACATCAACTTCTCCAGGTTCTCCAGGTACTGCAGCAGCAGGGTGAGGCGGAGCTGGTTGGAGTGGTGTCCGTCGCCGTCCCCTCCAGGACCGGCCCACGCTCCCAGGTCCTGTTCGGGGTTCAGGCTGTGTGCCGCCAGGCTTCGGATCATCCCTTCATCAGAACCACACAGACCCGTCAGCTCACAGCACAACCTGAACACGGCTCTGAAGGACCAGCTTCTTACCTTCGATGGTCTGGAAGGTGTCCTGGGCCCGACCCAGAGGCGTGCGGAGCTTGGACAGCACGGTGAACTGCGCCGCCTCCCAGACCGCCCACTGCCACAGAACCGCCTCGGTTTTCAGCAGCGCCCTGGGCACGGCGTCCGGCCGGCCGCCGTCCGCGCTCCCACGCCGCTCCCGCTTGTCCAGCCGCTGGCAGCTGTGGTACAGACGCTCCAGCCACGGCTCCTTCCTGTCAGCAGAGGAGCAGAGGAGCTGAAGGCAGCGACCAGAACACCGACCGCACCACAACTTCTAAACATCTGCAGGATCCATCGGGGAAAAGTTCTGCTCTTTGGTCCTGATGTCTACAAGCTAAGGACACAAGCTTCATTTTTCTGCCTCTACGATCAGAACCACTGGTCGTCCAATCAGAGCTGCGCTCAAACTTAAGGAACCACAGAGGTCGTTAAGACGGTTCGAGTCTGAACAGACAGGAACCAGTTTTTCTTGACTCTGGAAGATCTCGTTTCCAGAATCCATTTTTGCAGGACTTTCCTGTAACCTTTGTGTGAAAAAGTGCGGCAGGCATGAATCTGCAAGCTAGCTCCATCTTTCTTTGCAAAACTACTTTAAGCATATTCCCACCCCCTAAAGGCCTGGAATAACACATTTAAACACTTAACTGAAATTAGTTAAAAGAGATGTGACCATAAATTGAAAATTGTGTTTTGTTAATTTGCGACCATATTGCAAATGCAATTAATCGTCCAGTCCTAAACCAGTGCTCAAAGTGCTGGAGCTTTTTTAGAAAAATATATGAAAATTTTTGTTTGTTTGTTTATTTTAACATGGTGCAGGAGGTCAAACAAA